CAATACATTTCAAGTGATTTGTTATAATGGGATTTGTAATGCTGTGAGCAGGAGATATGTTAAACAACCGGTGCTGCCACAACAAGAAAAAGAAAACAAACGCATCCACTGGTGGAGAAAATAAAAAAAACGAGGAAGTTAAAAGGTGATTAAGCAGAATTAAATTTTCTGTCTCGTTATCTTAACTCTTAAATTAACAGGAGCTCTGGCATTATTACCTAATCCGATAATGATCTGAGCCATTAGTTAACCATTAAATCGTGGCTTATTATTATTTTTTTTTTGTGGCCTGCATTTACGCACGCTTTTTTTTTTTACTGTAATTGCTTACACATTTTACGTCTTTCCTCCTTTTGTATTTAGCATTAACACCAAGTAAAAAAGGAAGTGTGCAGTAGTCATTTTATTTATTTTATTACACAACAGTTCACCAGTTTAACCATGTGTGTTATGAACAGACACGTGAAAAAAGTTATTTTACAGCATTAATGCAACATTTTAACCATTTTAATTGATTTCTATAAAACAAGTGACTGTACAGCTTAATGTTAAACTTACATTTTAATGACTAAAGTCTATGCATTAGGTCATTTATTACAGATGTCATTAGTGAGATTTAAACATTTTAATAAAAGTTGTGTGGTATAGATCATAAAGGTCACATTTTCATTTATATTATGATTTATTATTTTTCTTTAAGTTGTTGAATTATTTATTTTAACTGATTTAATAAATGTATTTTTAGTAAGCACTGGTAAAAATAAATAAATAAGCTTTGATGAATAAAAAAAGAATCAACTTTTTTCTTCCGCCTCCAGACGTCTCCATACGACGCGCACACGACGGGGATGGCCGGAGCGCTCAGTTACCCCGCGGCGTACGGGAGTCCGGGTTACCCGTTCCAGCTCAACGACCCGGCTTACCGCAAAAACGCCACCAGGGACGCCACGGCCACCCTGAAGGCCTGGCTGCAAGAGCACAGGAAGAACCCCTATCCGACCAAGGGGGAGAAGATCATGCTGGCCATCATCACCAAGATGACCCTGACGCAGGTCTCCACCTGGTTCGCCAACGCCAGGAGGAGGCTGAAGAAGGAGAACAAGATGACGTGGGCGCCCAGGAGCAAGAGCGAGGACGAGGAAGAGGAGGACGCGGACGGAGAGAGGAAGGAGGAGGCGGAGCGCTCCGACAAAACCCTGGACAACAGCGAGGCTTCGGCGGAGGATGAAGGTGGGGTAGAATCTAATGAGCAAATAAACATTTCAGGCACTAACAATCCCCCCCCCCCCCCCC